GGTCAGAGCACGGAGGATTTTTGTATTGGACTTGAGATCTCCATTTGTGGGGAATAAGAACGGGTTAATGTTTTGTGAGAGCAAGTGTAAGAGGTCAACGGATGTCTAGTTCGGGTAGTAATAGAAGTGAGACATCGGATGGAGAATATTTTAATCAAGTGTTGGACAATATTGACCAGAGAGAAGTGGAATGTAGTTGAGCTTGAAATGAGACACTTTTGCATTTCTTTTGGTTTGACTCAATACCCTAACCGGTATAAAAATTTTATCTTGAATTTAGTAAGGAAAGCTCGTATTCGTTGGGAGTTTTAGACTAAGGACTTAAAAAGTGGCTTAGGTTTTGGATGGAATTTGTAATTTATAATTATTCAAATAATGTGGCATGGTATCATGGATCCTTCTAGTTTTCCTCTAACTAGGCTTATGATTTTCTCCTTTTGTTCCTACCTATGATAGTAGGGGTGGTGCATGCCGTGAGGTCTTTTGTACTTTGCTTGCATGTACTTTTGTTTTTGTGACGCTTAATTGTCTATGACCTATCTTTGACATACTTGGCTTGTTTGTGATCTCTCAACTTGTACTATGACTTTTGATATATTCAAAGAATCATGCTTTAATTTTAAATGTATTTGTAACTTGTATATGCATCTTGAACCCGCATAAGAATCAGAAATCGAGCAAAGCTTAGGCTCGGATCTTTCCTTAAGAATATGAGTGAATATTTGCTGTGAATTGGAGAGTAAAAATGACAAAGCTTTATGTATCATTAGAGTTAGTTCTTGGATTAGAAGTGAAGGGTGATAAAGGCGTTGGATCGAAGTTTATGCATATATGAACTTGCATGTTTATTTATCTTTCTTAAAAGTGTTTTCGAAAATATACATCTACTCAAATGTAGCTCTTAACTTAAAATTTTTAGAGAATTTTTGAAATATCCTCCCTGTATATGTTATTTTATTATAGATGTGTTTTAGTATCCATGCATTGAGTTGCATGATTAATCTTCTTAAACGTATTTGAAGAATTCTTAAACGTATTGATGATTGTGGTAAAAATATTATTTGAAATTTCTGATTAAGAAAATTTAGTTTCGGGGCATAAAGAAAAGTTTGTATCTTTAACTCTAGTTTTGAAATTCTGAATTGCATTTTGCCAGATACATATCCAAAATACATTAAAACCCTCGATTTTATCTCACATGCTATGATTGACTCGATTTGGACAAATTAAGTCCGAAAATTTTGGTAAGTTTAGTCTTCTACTGACAATATATCACTCTATTCGAGTTTTGAACTACAAGATTGAATCTTTTAAATTGGAGTTTTAATTGACCCTGGAGCCAATTATTCTTGTGTAAACCCTAGTTTCATGAATGGTATAAGTAAAGTGTGATCACTTGTCCTACAACTTGGAAGCAAAACGCCTATTGGGAAATTAAAGTTGATTGCTAATTGGATGAATAGAAATTGTGAGATATGGGTTGGAAAGTGTAAGTTGTTGATCGATTTGATAAGTATAACTCTTAAGGAATATGATATTATCCTAGATGTGAATTTCGAGGACGAAATTCTTTTAAA